GGTGAATTAGATACATAGCCAGAACTGCTTCGACTACGAGACCATTTTAATTTGGTGTATTTTACGGCCGGATGAATAATTCGTTATCGGAATTTTTATGTATGTGTTTGTTTTCGTTTTTCTCCCAAACGGCCAATCCTGTCAATTTATTCACATGCAGCTTTATTAACTAATTATTCGAATCAATTGTCGGCTTTAAAATACTCTCGATGCCACAACGGCACCACATTGTTAATGAACAACATGTACTTTTATCGTCGTGGCCATCAGTATGCGAGAAATTATATTAGCAAAATTAACATGAGTATGCAATCGATGGTACAAAATCGATCAAGAACAAAAAAAAGATGCAATATTTCCAATCGGAGCGAAGAAGAAAAAAAAACCCACACGCAAACAAATCAATTAGCAATAGAGTCAACAAAACGCGCGTTCGCATCGAAAACGAATAAAATTTCACATCGTTTTGCGAGAAACAAGATGCAAATCGAATTACATCATCATAATTCTGGCATGTGATTTCACTCTGCCCATTGTTTTCAACTTTCCATCTTTAGTGTGGCGCTGCGCTGCGCGCACTACGTCTTTCGAGCGTGCATTGAATTGTAAATGAAATAAAATATAATTTGCGTCGTTGTAAACGACGATTCTATTATTGATATTTAATTGAGACGACGGAGTGCATTGAATCTGTCTGTTTTGTGCTGCTGAGCTGGCAATGCATTCAATCGGTTCGCTTGTTCGTTCGCTAAAACGACTAACTAATGTACTGCACCAAGTTATGTCATTTATTTTCCAGTAAAGATGTGGAATTTCGTGAAATTGAAATAATCATTTATTATTCGAATGGAAAATGAGCGCCTTTCCTTCTGTTTTTCCTCCTAAGCTATTTGTCATCCATCAATTTGTTCCGTTTTTTTTTTGGCGCATTGGGGTAAAATGAAACGGAATCGGACGTCTCTAAATTAAATTTGTTTGCTGTGGCTGTTTGCACATTGGATTATGGCCATGAAATGGAAGGGAAGTCCATAACAGTGTTCATTTTTAGATAAACCATAAATGCCATAAAATGAATCGTCTATTAGACAACGCTGGCGACAAGGGGTGACGAGGACAACAAAGGCGATGCTTGAAACAATAGAGAGAATATGGTACCAGAACCAAAATACAAGGAGGACAAAAGAGAACCAACCAACCGTCCAACCCAATATACAAGACGCGTATCGCATAACACATGTTCACGTAGCTAAGACCTCGCGAAGCAATATTTTGCTACGTCGAAGAATCTGGCAAATGACATTTTTCTCATTTGCAATCGACCATTAATCTTTGTATTGGTGTTTGGTTTGTGTGCGACTGTGTGTGTGTCGTGATGCAGAGTCGCGATTAGTTTTACGTTCCATCGTTTTCGCACATTATTCGCAGGCTTTGTCTCCTTCTCTTTTTCTACGTTGCCATGAATGCTACTGCCGCAGTCGATGTTGCTATTGCTATGTTTATCTTTACCGCAAAATGTTTCCATTGTTCCATGGTATTTGTTAAGCCATTGTCTATTTACGTTTATCTTAATGCAATACATACGCACACACCAGCCCAGCTTCGAATCATCTTCAATTAAATTGTATTTTTCAACCGACTGAATTAATTATGCATTGTGCGTTTCATGGAATTAAGTCGAGTCGAGTCGAGTCAAGTTTGGAGTTCAATTGATTCGCTTCTCATTACATGTAGCGGACGACTGTATGAAAATTATATAGATGTATCCGGAATGGAGAATCGAACCGAACCGTACCGAATATACATCACTCTTTCCTATACATTGATTTATTATTCGTGTGTCTTAAATATTATCACGACGGAATTTTGCGAGAGAGACTTTAATGTAGGGGAGATAACGATTTTATGTTCTTAAAATGTGGTTTATGTTTTCCGGTGAATCTAGTTTACTATATTCAGATATGAGCCATTTCGAATGGGCTACCATATGAAGAAAGACAGCGATAGCAACGCAACATTGACACAACAGACAACGATGACGACGACGAAGAATGAGCGAAATGACTCATACAAAGTTCTGTTCTTTGTACTCAATTGAAAATTGATTCGGGTGGAAATTATTGCTGATGTAATTTATACATAAATAAATCTTTTAGCCATCATTCTCTCTCACTTCGTCTGTGTGTGTATATGTGTCATATCGATGAATTATTAAAGAAGCTGCCTGCTCCTTTTCGGTACTCACTCCTGTTGCCTGCATTGTGTGTGTGTGTGTGTGTGTGTGTGTGTGTGTGTGCCTTAACCATCTAATTTTCGATATTTCCACTCTACCGCTCTCCATCTTTATGTGTTCGTTTTTCTCGATTTAGAATTAGTATGCATACTCTTGCCGCAACGCAAAAAAAGCGCGACTCTTACGCCAATTCCGATTCAGAAGGCTGAATATCGTTCCCCGTACGATGAAACAAGACCAACGAATAAGAAGACGAAGGAAAAAAAAACGAAAAGACAACCAAGCAAAAGGAAAACAAACTAAATCCAATTAAATTTGCATAACATACAAAGCGCAAAGCCGTTAGCAGTTAGAACAGTAAACCTTCACTGGTTTTTGTGTACATTTCGTACAATCCGCTTTGTCCTCGCGTTCCGCATTCTGTGCAGCGTCGACGTCGTCGTCGTTGTTGTTGTTGTTGCCGCGCTGTCACTGCCGCTGTTGTTACCATCGGTGTAGTTGTTGTTGTTGCCCATTTTGAATTCTTCCCTTTTTTACGCTCTCAAATTTCACAGCCATCCATCGAGCGCTTGTTCATCGTCGTTGACATCAATATATGGTTCATGTTTATTTCTATTGCGATTTAAGGGGTACTGCAGAGAATTCTTTTATTCCCATCAGTTCCTTTCTTTCCGTTGCTCGTTCTTTTTTCCTCCGTTCATAATGTGTTCTCTTTTCATTTAAATGCAAATAAACGAGTTTTATGTTTTTGGTCGATCTCTTATTTGCTTCTCTTTTCTCCTAATTCCTCCGCACGCAATTTTTTCGCCAATACAAAAATCATTAATTTAACATCAATATATTGTGGTATATCTGTGAACAATGCTCTTGCTATTCTACTTATGGCCGATTGCAATTGAGGACTTTTTCTGCTTTGCTCTTTTTGTCTCTCTCCTTCTCTCTCTTTCTTTCTCTCTCTCTCTCTCTCTCTCTCTCTCTCTCTCTCTCGCTCTCTCTCTCTCTCTCTCTCCTCGAAGAAAATCCAACAATCAAGCGTGCTGATGCGTAACCGAAACAATTCAAGTCGAACAGACAATCCGAACTTGTGACTATTATGCAAGCAATTTGCGTTCGGCAGACATGAAGATTCTCTGTGAACACAGTTCTATATTTGTACGTGTCGTAAAATGCGCGTCTTTAGCTATTTCCAAATCGAATTTGGAATTTCAATGAACGATTGATTTCTATGCTCAAGAGTAGGAGAAAAAAAATTATGATTGCTCTCGAAATGATATCGAAGTGAAAGAAAAAAAATTAAAATGGGCGAACATTTGAAGCGCGAAGATTTGCGAAACGGAATAAATTACCGCGTGGAGTGCCATTTGAATGTGAGCTGATGGTAATTGTGAAGCACACATTGCCATCTAATGGAATCTAAAGAAGCGCTCAAGTGTTCGGCTTTATTTTTAGTCGCGTCTCTCTCTCTCTCTCTGTGTGTTTTCGCCGATGTACTGAACCGTAGCGCTTCAGTTTTATTTCGATCCCAAAAATTCCATAACAGTTAATATGGCATTAGGATACGAAAAATTGCACGAGAGTAAGCAGAAATGGGAAATATAAAATCGTGTTCCTCCATGGTTTTCGTTGCTGGCGTCGTCGTTGTCGGTCGGCAGGTAGAGCCAGTCCATGGAGACACATACACATAAAACGATCCAACCGATACATACACAAAACGGCCGAATTATGAATATACATTCGAATCTATACGAAAGCAACCACTAATGAATACGTGCGCTGTTCGATGTACACTCGATGATTGTTTGACGCAGTCGATCGAAATAGAAGAGCACGCGCTTTTCACTGAGCATTCTGCAGAAGATATATATTCGACTGCAAAGTAAATATGCTCTCTCGCTCACCAGGCTGTGTAGCAAATGTAATTCGATTGTCATGAATGCTTTGACACACGGTACGTGTAGAATATGAAGAAGAAGAAGAGGAAGAAGCATGGAAAAAAAGCGTGGAAATGCAATCGACCGCACTCGTACATGTTTCAAGGAGGCAATAGAAAGCACTCACATTTTACTGCCACAAACATACAATCCGCACCCGAATTATGGGCTCTGTGTGTGTTTTTTTTTTTGCATTGGCACCAATACGGCATGAAACCAGAGACAAGATAGAAATACACACAGAAACCGAACGAACGAACAGAGAATTCCTTACACAACTCAAACGGCGAATTCGAATCAATTGGGGTTGCAAAGTCAAACTGTGAGAATCGGTTCACGTGTACCCGAGCCCCTGTGTATGTGTTAGTCTCTCGGAATACGAGAGAGAGAGAGAGAGTATGTGTGTTCGAACGAACGAACGAACAAACGGCTGATACGGTATTCACCAGCTACATCCAGATGTGTATGATGGTAACAGTGTATTGGAGCCAGAATGTCGTGCTCACAACACACTGTTCCATGTATTCGTTCAGGCAATGATTTAATTTTGCTTTGAATATTCAATATGCGCATTCTCGTTCAGTGCGCAAAAGCACTACTGACGAGAAAACTTTTTCAGAGGGTCACACGTATCATTCGGCCATGGATGTCGTCATCGTTTTTCAAGAGATAAGTTTCGTGTTTCGGAGAGCGAAACCCGAACGCGAGAGCGAATGCACACGGTGAGAGTGCGGGCACACGCGACCGATTGCAATAGAGAGAGAGAGAGAGAGAGAGAGAGAGAGAGAGAGCAAGTGTGTGTGCCAAGAGAGCGTGATTGTTCGGTATGTTCAGTGAGCAGTCGTACACAGTACACGCTTGGGATAGAACATTATCCATCATCGTCGTTGTTCACGGAGAGAATTCGCAAGCAACTGAAATTCATCGTTCAACATTGAGCTATTGCATGTGTGAATTCCATAGACATTGTGGCACACAGGCAGATTTTATCGAAAAGAGAGAGCGCGAAAAAAACATTTTTCGGAGAGTGAGAGAGCAAGTTTTTGTGTGTATGTGTATTAGTGTGTGAGCATAAAGTCAGCGAAGTTGAGAGAGAGCTAGAGCGAGCAATATTCGTTTGTCGATTTTTTTGCTACCAGAGCCGCCTTATGGCACTTGTTAAGTTGCTGTGAAGCTGGTTAAATCATTTCACATACATCGAGTATAGCATCTCTCGTTTTGCTTGGTTTTGGTAAATTTTCTCTATTTCTATTTGGAAAAACCGAGAATTTAGTGATAAAAATTGGTTAATTTAATTTGGATTCAATTGAAAATTCTCAATGAAACACTGGTCCATCGGATTAAAAAAAATCAAATCGTGAAATTTTTTTCGTTGGTTGGAAAAAAGGAAAACGGAAGAAAAGACCTCGAACATCGGTGTAACATATCCATGAGCGGCCATCTTTGATTTTCGTTCGTTTTTTCTTTCCTCTTCACCATTCTTGCTTTGTTCTATATAGATCGAGGGAAAATTGAAGTGAAAATTTAAGCTTTTGAAGTGCGTGCGTGTGCAAAATAGAAATTGATTCGAGAAAAACCCTGACGGGACTAGAAAATAAATTCCACCTTATTTTTTACAATCGCAACTAATTAAATTTTATGAGGCGTTCGCCCTTTTTCCTGCTAGCGAAGAAAGAAAAAAAATTCACATACCCAGAGTGTTTGCCTCTTTTTCTTGTTCTGGATTTACTGCTTCCTTCTTCTTTTTTTTCAAAAATATTCGCTTATCATCAACACACACACACATTTTCTTCTTCTCGGGTTAGGTGCAGCAATTAAACAAGTACAAACAGCCAAACGAAGAAACCAACCGAAAGGCATAGAAACGGCAAATTGAAACGATAGTATAAAGAACAGAAAAAGAGAGAGAGAAAAAAGTTTGTAGCAGCAGAGGTTACGAGTCGAAAGGCGCAAACGAGCAGAGAGAGAATCAGAAGAAATCTTGTGAAGCGGAAAAAAGAAGGAAGTCGATTGTTTCATAATGGCCGATAAAAAAGGAGCAGGAGCAATAACGGAACAATATTATACACCACCACCGAAGCTATCCGGCTGGGAGAGTTTTAGGATATTCATGTGGAATGGCGAGACAGGTGAATTCCTAGGACGTACAGCTGCCAGTTGGGGTAAGTTTTTTTTAACACATTTAAATTAAATTGTGTATTTAATTTTTCATTCGCTGTTGCCCATTTGGCCCATCGTCATACACATCTACTCATACACACACACACACACATACATATGTATCGCTTTGGTCATCGTCATCGTTGTCCATCATCGAGGATCCTTGCATTGCACAATTCACCATTGTGAACAAGAGCGGGCGATAATTTTGTTTCTTTCTCCAAAGCATGTTAGCCCATCACAAATCCATAACTCGATGATTCATTGCAATGAAAATTGATATAAAAATCACATTCGCATTCCATATAATTTTTTAATGACTGTTACGCGACCGAAGAAGTGTGGCGACAGCCAAAAAAAAAAGAAACACCGTAAACGACATTGTGGAATGGGCTGCGATTTTTCGATTTTATGTGTTACATAATCAATTCCAAGCATTCACACGCTTATGTTCCGACCGATATGCAATTCTAATACACTTTTGTGTTGCCGCACACACACAGTTCAGTTGGAGCAGAATGCATAATGAATACACACAGAACGCTGACGTATATGTTGATGGGATGTTTTATTGTTGTTGTTGTTATTTCTGCTGGTGGTGCTGCTGCTACTGCCGCCGTTGTGTATCCTCCATAACATCAATTACATTTTTCAATTCATTTAACATTACCGTCGAATTTTATTTCAACTTTTCACTCGGTTTTTCTTCGGCTTTCCCTTCCACCTCTTTTTTGCCACTGTCATTCCATAGAAAAAAAATTCGTTCGGTTTTTTGCCGTTGTTTCCTCCATAGAAAGAAGTTGATGAGCTGCAATTTTTCGTGCCACAGACAAACAAATACATTGACGTACACACACAAGGCTGGACACAACGAGCGTACGATATCGTGCGACCGATTCGCATTCATTTCGAAACACACAGCGTACAGTTCGCAGCATATGTACGCACACAAACACACATACGTATACATACACACATGCAGCCGATGACTTGATGAAATAGGGAAAATCGATTTTTTTTATTATAGAAGGGGTTATAGTTTTGACATTATTGTTGCGTTTTTGTCCTACTAGCACATTGTGGCAAACGTCGTCCACACACACACACACACACACATTAACTGAAGTGGTGATCAGCGGGAAAGGCAAAAGACAAAAATAAAAGCAGCCAAGAGCATTCACAAAATGTGTGACGTAATGTCGTGGCACGAACGAATTACATTCTACTATGTGTTTTGGCTTGGGTGCATATTTATGTTGTTTTGAGCCTTATGTTTTCGAGCCATGCGATATTTGACGAATTGTTCTATTTATTATCAGCATTGTATTTCAACTGGATTTGAACTTTGTTGCTTTTTTTATCACATAAAAAAAGATTTCGAGCTCCGTTGAATTAGCAAAAAAAAAAATGAAAGTGACTGGTACATTTATAGTATGTAGATAACAACAACAACAACAATTAAAACATGATAGGAGCCAGTTGAATGACAGTGCGCTGATAAAACCAACGAATTTAATACATATTTTAAGTCATTCGCGTTCATACATTCCAGAACTTTGAACAAAATGTAAATATTTTCATTTAAATGCCCGACTTGGATTTGAACGTGCTCCGATTCAATGTCACAGCGATAAAAATAACTCATTTACAGATAATGTCTCGTGTTGAATACTAACGATTGTCTCTTTTCTTCTTCTCATTTCTTCTTTGGAAAATTGCAGGAAAGATTTTGGTTTTCTATTGTATATTCTACGCTGCACTTTCTGGTTTCTTCGCTGGTCTGTTGGCTGTATTCTGGCAAACACTCGATCCAGAACGACCAAAATGGGAGTTGGGCGAGAGTTTGATTGGTACAAATCCTGGTCTTGGATTTCGTCCAATGCCACCAGAGGCACATCTTGGTAGCACATTGATTTGGTATAAATCCAATCGCCCGGATAACATGATCTACTGGCACGATACAGTCAACAAATTCCTTGACGGTATGTCATCTATCTTTAGATTCACAGTTGCAAACAATCCAAAGAATAGATATTTAAATGATTTGATTTTTTCGTTCTCTGTTTCGTAACATAGAATACATTGAACCAAAATTCGAGGAGAATATTGATAGTGAGTGCAATTTTGGTCGTATAGCCACTAGCGGCAAGTACTGTCCATTTAAAATCGAATCATTGGATAACTGCTCTCCCGGTAAAACGGACCGAAAATACGGTTTCCCTGAAAAGAAACCATGTGTCTACTTAAAATTAAATAAGGTAAGGCAAGATTGCATGACCTCATATTTTATTCATTACACATCGACCGTAGCTAATTTGATACACACATATCTATTTCTATGTTGCTATTGTTGCTGGTGCTGTTGCTGTTGCTGTTGCTATGTGCCAGATTTACAATTGGATTCCACGAGTCTTCAACGAAACCGATGAAAGTCAGATTAGCGATGAGCATGAACGTTCTCAGTATCGAAAGATGCCAGACTTCCTGAAGGAAGCTATCGCTCAAACTAGAAATCCAGCTGAGGTTTGTACCACCACCATCATCTCTATTCTTCATCAATAATAAAGTAGTTGACGAAATTTAAGTGTGACTTTCATTTTGCACCTTCAATTTCTCTCTTCATTTAACACAAACAGCGAAACTTGATTTGGGTTTCCTGTGAAGGCGAGAGCCCAGCTGATGTGGAAAATCTTGGACCAGTGCACTACTCACCGCGACGTGGTTTTCCAGCATACTATTTCCCATACAAAAATGTTAAGGGCTACCAGCCACCAGTCGTTGCCGTGCAATTTGAACGACCAAAGCGTAAGTGTCAATGATATTCGTTGTCGTAGCAATTTCAAGCTTTAAATTGGCAACAATCTCAGTAAATCGCCAAAATTGAGAATACTTGCAAAGAAGAAGAATCACCAAAAATTTTACCTTGAAAACTAATCAAATGCTATCGATTTTTCCCTCTCTTTTTCATCCACACAAAACAGCTGGTGTACTCATCAACATCGAATGCAAAGCCTGGGCCAAAAATATCTTGTACGAGCGCGCAGAACGAAAAGGTTCAGTCCACTTCGAATTGATGATAGATTAAATTTATTAGTTCTTAAACGAAAAAAAAAAAATGAAATAGAAATCATAATACCAAACTAAGCAAAGCAACATCAACAACTTATTTGGAAGAACAAGAAAGAAAGAAAAAGCAAAAGTTAAAAAAAAAGAACAACCAACCAACAACCAATCCAGCCGGAAAAGCTGCGGCGGGCATCATAAAATGTGGTATTTGTAATATTTCCCATTCTTCATTTATGTTCGATTCGAATCATTTGATTAGGACTTTTAGAGTTAGTTCGTTCTTTTCTTTTCGTTTGGAATAATAATAACAACAACAAAACAAGAACAAAAAGAAAAATAATAATATTTTGTCCGTTATTGTGTCACAAACAACAACCCAGGTAAAATGCGTGCGTATCGTCTCAAGAGCGCTCCAAAAAGCAAGCAAAATTAAGTCAATGTCAAAAAAAGCACTACCAATTATTGTGTTATGTATTTAAATGGAAAAAAAACAACAATGCAAACATAGCAAAGGAAAGTAACCAAAAAAAAAATCACAAAAAAACTATTTAAAAAAATAATTCATCAGATGCTGTTATAGAAATGTTAAAGTAAGAGCTAAACTAAATATTAGGGCCATCGATTGAGAAACTTCAAGTTATATAACGTTCAAGCAACAACAACCGATTCTTTGACACTCAATTTAACTTAAATTTTTAATTTCATACGGTGTAAGTGATACGTTCACACTACACACAGGTTCATTATACATATGAAACTGATGGTGGTGGTGTGTGTATGTCAATCGCAACCACCTATGGGAGAGCTAAAAGGAACGAAACATACATAAGTTCTTCTTCTTCGAAGAATCTCTAGAATATAACAAAAAAAAAGACAGAAAAAAATAAAAAATACGAGCAAAGAGAAAGTGCAGAAAGCGAACATATGATTCGATGAGGTTTAGTGAGTATATATATATAATTTATTATATAAATGTGTTGAAAAAAGACAATTGATATTACATAATTTTTAGGCTCTTATTACATAGGTGATTATGACGAACATTATTTATTTATAAAGAAAACAATTTATCATTTAACGAATAGCAACAACAACAACATATAGATGGGTGGAAAAGGGAAATATCTATTTAAACCAAACTGCATAATTGTTACTTACACACATACACACACTCACACAATTCACAAAATCGTCACAAATTTAATGTTTAGCTAATAACAAAGACATGTAAAACGTTGATACAATTTTTGCTTACTTAGAGAAAGCGATCTATTTTGGTCTGTCTGTTTGATTTTCGGTTCTTTTTTGCTTCTCAAATTTTAGTTATAACGAATCAAATGAGAGACAGAGTTACGTTTAGAATTTCCGTTTTAAGAATTGAACATCATTTTCAAGAGTAAAATATAATATTTGAAACAACTATGAAAATTAACCCAACAACAAAAAAGACGAGATGAAGAACCTTGTAAAATCTGTAAAGTAGTCATTTAGAATGAGTGAAATGCAAATTTATGCAAACCAAATAAAAACAACAACAACAACAAAGAATTATTATTATTAATGATATTTAATTATTGCCGGTATTCACCAGAATAAACCAAACAACAACAACAACAACAAAAAAAATTAACTTAAAAAAACACATGTTTTAGCCATCGATTTAAATTCGAATAAGAATAAATTCTAATAAAAAAGGAGAAATTAGATCACAAGAAACCTTATTTAAAATATTATTAATGTATTTATTACATGTAGCGTCGTCGTTTTCACTCTCGATTCAACAAAAAAAAATCATTCAATGAACTAAATAATGAACAACAAGAAGTAAAAACAACTCACTCACTCACTCATTCTCATTACCAATTCCACACCAAGAAAAAACAAATACACAAAACGCGCTTTCCATTAAAAGCGGCTACGTATGTGTTCAAATTAATTTAATGTTGACGAAAAGTATTTAAGCATTATTTTTCCGGCCGTAAGAAACTTAAATTAACTATTACTACTTGATTAATTATGAGAGAAAATAAAAACCAATATAAAAATTGAAATTAAATCGAATGACTACACACAGAGCAAAAAAAAGTTTTTAGAAAAAGATGCGAATTGAAAAAAAAATGTGACGAAGTTATGATTGATCATTGGCGCAAACTGATTTCCAATTCGATAGAAAAGAAGAATAAGAATGAAATGTGAAAATAAAAGAAAAAATCACAATGAGATTGCTCACTTTGAAGATGAACCCACTGTCGCGCAACCAGGGAAACGCAGCACACGCATACACACACATATATATACAGTATTGTTGGCCTCATGCATCCACGACGCGCGCCGCGACCACCCATGTGTGCGTGTGAGTATGTGCTGCCCAATGTTTTCTGCAACGCTTCTCTGCTCCAGGAATAGATTCGGTAACAATTTATAACTTAATGCCCGCTACGTGTATGTGTAGAGCCTTTGATTCACTGTTAGTAGTTATTTGCCAAATGATAAACAAAGAAGAAGAAAAAAATACAAAAATGGAGAAAAAAAAATATGAAGAAATCACATGTTATTTGTACATTTAATTTTTCGGTTTTTTTAAAAATACATTTGGTTTTAATTTCAATTGAATCCGGATTTTAAACCAACAATAGCAACAACAACAACAAAATAAAAACGATGTGATTTCCATTGATTTAGACAATCACTCGCGGATTCCCGTGCGTGAGCGTCGACCCAAGGAAACCACCACAAGGATGTTTATGTATGCGTGGTGTCTGTGTGTTTATTACGCGTGCATGCATGTTTATGAAATGCCTCCCCCTCGTTTGTATTTTATACATACATTTTTTTGTGAAACAAATGGAATGGATCGTGTTCGCACGCGTTCATTCTCTTGAATTGTTATTTAGCCGTAAGAAGCGTTCCAGCTTCGAGAGATGCATTCTGCAAATCTGACGAGTATATGATAATGTATATCGATGTGAGCGAGAGAGAAACAGAACAAATGAATGATTGAGTAAAAAAAAAACATGCAAATAATTAATTTGGTTTCTGTCGGTTTTTGGTTTGTGTTCAAATTTAGGTTTATTTTTAACGCATTTTTTTCAATATTAAGAAGAAATTCTTCTAAAACATTACGGTTTTCCTTCTGTTTGATATATATTTTTGGGGATTTTTCAAGTGTTTTGCTGAATAAAGTTGAACGAATTAAAAAAAAACACAAAATATTCACTGAAAAGAATAAGATGTTTATTAACATCTGAATAGCAAACCAAAACCAACAACACATACAGTAACAGAGAAAAATGGATGAGCGCAGCAAACCGGAAAAAAGTGAAAAAATTTGCAGCACACACAACTGCATTCTATCACAAAAGATTAGAAGCAAACAATATTTACCAAAAAAAAAATCTAAGCTACTTAGAGCAGCTTGCGTGTGCGCACATTTCATCACAAAAACGAAATAAATTTAAAAAAAGAACACACACACACACACTTGAACACACAGAGTTCATAACCTTCAATAAAAAAAAAACCAAAATGAATAAAAAACAACAACATTCACACTACAAATACATACAAACAAAAAACAAAACAAAAATATGTAACGGTAAACGGAAAACCATTTTAAGACAACAACAAAAAAAATATGATGAAAAACAATATTATTAGAGCTCAACTGAGAGAAAAAACAACTGAAGAGATGTTTACCCGGAATGTGAAAATGCTAGTCTAACACATAAGCGTTTTGTATTCACCGCAAACAGCACCAAAGACATGACGAGAACATGCTTCAAACTTAAGCTAGTTACACATACCACACAAAAGCCGCCAGTTTGAATTCACATTTTCCTGTCGATAGGATCTTGAGAGGTAAATACACAATTACATTCCCTTCACCACAAACAACAACCATGGTTTTTTTTGGTGCTTTGCATGGCTCTTTGGTGCTTCAGCGAGAGAATAGCGCGCGCAGTTTGTGCAATAAATACATTCTTCAATTCTAGGCAAAACGTATCTTTTACTTTAAATATGAAGGAAACAACAACAAAATTAAAGTTTATAAAAAGTCTCACAAAAACACACAGAAAAATATTAAAAAAACAACAACAACAACAACAAGTAATTTAACAAATAATAGTTCGTAGTTAAAAAGAAAATTACAATATTGAATAAAAATTTGAGAAAAAGTGAAAAGTGAACAAAAAAAAAATAAAAATTACAGAGGTTTTGCTTATTTAACAGAAGAAACAACAAACATGAGCTGGTTTTTTCTTTCTTTCATTCAAATTTATTACTTTCTTGTCCATGTTCGTTATACTTTATAGAGTGCCCATATTGAATTTATTTGTCGATTCTTTTTTCCGGATTTTTCTAGTTGAAATATGCAACAACAATGCCCAATAGAATAGTGTTACACACAGAGAGGCAGAAAACGAAAAAAAAATAAAACGATCATTCATACGCGCGTTATCGTGCGACATTACTCACTATCGCTCTTCATAATGCGACAAAAAAATGAACAACATTACTACTTGTTTTCTGGCATTGAAAAAATGCTATGTGTTTTAAGAGGAGGGACTGTTGATGGCAATATGGCAATATGGCAAAGGCAATAGAAACCCGCATCACACCCAACTTATGATTCGCAAGAGCATAAAGTGAAGAAGAAGAAAAGAAAAACCAACCAAACAAACAATTTCAAGTAGATTAATCGCGATAAACACGTTTTGTTCATGAATCAAAGTGCAAATTACTAATTGTTCGGGGCTTTTTTCTTCCTCTCTCTCTCTCTCTCTCTCTCTCTCTCTCGCTCTCTCTCTCTCTCTCTCTCTCTCTCTCTCTCTCTCTCTCTCTCTCTTGGTTAGGTGTTGGCTTTTTGAAAGTAAACAGAAAAAAACGAGCATAGCAAGAACGAACTCATCAATGATGATGACAAAATCGGGACAGAAAAAACCATTAAAACCATTATGTAATTAACTAATGAATTGACGCTTGAAAACCAAATTGAATATATATATGTTTTTGTAAGCATTAGATGAATATATGACCCTATTGTCCCTTATTCTCGCTCAAACACTCTTTGGAGAGAGAGTGAGAGAGAGATAGAGTGAGTGAGAACTCACTAGAGCTAACGAGAATGAACAAGAACAACAACAACAAACGAAAAAAATGCCAGTGACAACAAATACGATCTCTATTATACGGGATAGATAAAATGCGAATAAAGTCAAAGCACCGCTGCCGCCACCGAACACAGACCCCAAAATCCAATCCAAATCAAATGTACGGTGTTCATAAAAATGTACGGAAAGTCACAGTCAGAGCGACCGAGATGGAAATGAAAAAAAAAAACAAAATATTGTGTTCGCCGTTGTGATATTTTATCTTATCGACAAATGGCATCCATATGGTTACTAAATGAAATATATATATTTTTCGGTCTCTTCTATCCATCCATGATTTGAATGCGAAAATTCCGTTGGATTTGCCCATGTTCATTCAGCTTTAGGGCAAAACAGATTCGCTAAACCGAATAACACCATTCTTTTATTCGCCAACAGAACAGAACAGCAAAGACACTTCCATGCTTTCTCTTTCACTCTCACTCTTTCTCTATAACCAAAGAACAAGAAGAAGAAGAAGAAGAAAAAAAAATTGCATGACAAAATGTGTTTGCCATATGAACATTTCCAAACCAACGAAATGTCACGTAGAAAAAAAAACACTAGCGCTTTTTTTATCCATTTTGAATAGTCTTCAAAAAAACCTTCAGTTTTTGTAGTTAAATAAACAAACACAAATTATATGTGTAATTTTTAAATAAAATAAGAAACAAAAATATGATAAGATGGGAAATACAAAAAAAAAACAGAAAAATTATCTACTAGATTGTTAATTATTAAATAAACAAACAAAAAATGATTCGAAGATGCGATGCATTAATGAAATTTTCTCCACAACTCCCCGACTTATTTTAAAAACCATTTGAGCGCCCCTTATTTGAATACTCGATTCAATCACGATGACATACAACAAAACCACAGAAAACACATACAAACTACTTAAGACAGTTGAATGTTTCGATCTTTTTTGTGAAAAGAAATCTGTGAACCAGACAAAACAACAGCAACATGAAAAAGAAATTCATGTGAAATGAAATTGAATAAGTCGTTTATAGGAAACTTAAAAATAAAATAAAAAAAATAGAAAATGTTTAAATTATATTCATGATAAAACAACAAAAAACAAAACAAACAGTGGAATAAACTAAAGCCATAGTAAGAACGAGACAGAAGAGGCAAATTGACAAGAATAAACGATAAAAATGCATAAAACCGATTTAAATTAAACTGAAACAGCAACAAATTACCAATTGACACAATAATAAAATTATTTTAATTTAATAAATAAACAGATCCGCTGTTTTACTCTCTAACTCAGTTTTCTTTCCCTCTTTCTATTGCCGTGTGCATGTTTCATATGGGTTACGCTGCACTGCAGTTGCGGATAGTTGTCTTTTGCAGTGATAAAGCAGGTTAAGTAAGGCCAGAGAGAAGGAAAGAATGAAAGCCGCAAAACTATAACAAAGCTTCGTTTAACACGAATATAGACACACAATTGCCGAATAGTCATTTCATGTTTCCATATATCGATGCAGTGTTAATTAACCTGGCTTGTGCCAAATCTATGCTATTTTTAGACAATGCACGTGAACTGAGTTATACAATATGCATAAATATGCCGATGCAGGCAAAACAATCGAAATAGATATGCAAAACGGTCAATTGCCGTTTCGCTTTTTGCTGCCGCCGCTTCAAAGAGTTTCGCAATATCACGTTATATAATCACATTCGAGTGATGCGGCAATCAAATCATGAACCATTTTCAGAGACAAAATGTCGCCGCTTCTTATGACTGACTATTCTTTCGAAATTCGTTGGTTTTTCTTTCGGTCGTTCGGCGATCTCTCGTCAAATATGTTTGCATGACTGATTTTAATGGAGCCATTCATTTCAAATGCTATAATTAAGTAATTCAAACCAAAATCAAGTAATTTAAACCGAAATCAATCTGGTCGCTCTCTTTCTCTCTCTCATTGTTTTCATCTCTATCTCCGTTTGGAAAACCCGGTGGGAGGTAATATGGAATTTCAGAGTGTGACGAAAATCACGAGCACAATGAAAAAGCGTCGTTCGCAAATTGGTACGCACCATGTATGCCCATGCGATCAGCTCGAACGCCAAACTCCGAATGCCAAAATGAAAAATGGTGAAAATGCTTCAGTTGTAAATGAATACTCTCTTACGAGGTACTGCTACACATTCCTGGCATCACAAAAGAGAACGAACGCAAATATCTATATGTATACCCAAATCCATATATCTGTATGTATAAAAAATTGTATATACAGTGTGTTGAGCTATGCTCAACCTGGCATTGCTGAAAATGATACGGACGCAGAGAACGCGCAGCAACGATAAAATCGAAGACGGTCACAAAAAGTGGCAAAAGAGAAAATGGCCGAAACGAAAAGCTCGTCTCCTCATGCAAATTTTCCCAAAAACGAGCAAAACGGTTGAATGTGTACCTTTTTTTTTCTTTCTCTCGTGTCGTTCATATTGACTCATGGTTGTACTAGTTTTACGGTTTGCTGCTGAGAGCAGCATTCGTCCCGTTTATGATGTCTCTTCTTTTGGGGTATTTTATTCTCAGTTTCTCGTTTTTCCCAATGACAACGATGAGAAAACTCGCCCAAATTTTTTTTCTCGTGTCGGTGTTAAATGGCAAAACCGAAAGTCAGATTTCATGTCCTGTGATTCAGTGAGTTTCACTGAATGACAAAACGGAGAGAGAGAGTGAGCGAACGAACGAACGAGCAAGCCAGAGTTTCAAAATGGATGGTGATGATGGCATGTAAACCGTGCATTTCAAATTGTCTCCTGGTTCTTGCGCGCGCTTTTCTGCTCTCTCATCAAAAAATTGCACACACATACTAACAACCATACATACACACACATGAATGTAAGCTCTCTCTCTCTCTCTCTCACATGCACACAAACAACCATACACACGAACACACAAATCGCACAGACTCACTCTCAACATCAATCTCTCTGGCTCCGTTTCAAGGAGTATCACCGTTCCGGGTGTATGTGGCTGTTTTTAGTTGGTGTTCCGGTTTCGGATCGTGCAGATGTGTTTGAACGTAAAAGCTGCACATAGGATCCATTCGAGCTTTGTATCATACAATTTTTGTTCAGTTTTTCTTTTTTCATTTGTCATTTTTTCGCTTTTCGTTTGTATCGTGTTCATCTTTTTTCCGTTGAAAACAACAACAACAACAAAAAAAAGAAAAATCGGTGAATCGTGGCCCGTCATCGTGCAATAGTGTTAATTAAAAACGAAGACGAAAAAGAAAAATGATAAACTGTGTTCATTTTCGGACGAGAAGAATTTAACGAAGAAAAAAGAAAAGTATTAAACAAGTTCAATAATACCCGCGAAAAAAGAGAGAGAAAAAAAAATGTTGATACGAAATATAGTATCTGGAATTTTTTTAGTAATAGTGATAAAAATTACAAAGTTGAATGGAAGAGACGAACACGATCAGTAGCAGCAATAAACAAACAATCTCATTGGATTCAGTTGGTTGGAAAATCGAATGGATTCTTTTTTTCTCTTTCGTCATTTTTTTCTCTCAAAATATATACATACATCTAAATATATAACAACAGAAGAGAAAAAAAATAGCTATAAAATGCAATCGACGAAACAGACAGTGTGCAGCAGTAAAAAGAGAATAAGTTATCGAAATAAATAAATCGCAAGCGAAATAGATTTAAAGAAATAAAAGAGAAAATTATTGTGATTTTTTTTTCGGTTCAGTTCTGTTCGTCTGTTCTCTCTGTTCTGTTCGAAATCATTGCAGTAAAAATGTAGTTTTCGTACACATCAGAGCACAACCACTACCAACATTATCATCAAACAACAACAATACACACAAGAAAAGCTTTAATAAATTTCAATGGTATACATAATTTTCAGTTTAGGTTGTCGTTTTTTCCTCTATATAGTTTCAAATTTATCATCGCCTCCGTCGTCGTGGTCGTTGTCGTCGTGGTCGTTGTCGTCGTGGTCGATGTCTCGTGAGCAAATTTTCATGTCTCAACATAAATGTGTTTGTTCGTAACTGAAACTGAAGTCGAAGACGAAGAATGCGAGCAAAAAAAAAAACGAAAAAAATATAATGCGAGAGATGAGAGAAAAAAAAGTTACACACAGAAACGGGCAAACGAGAGAGAGATAAAAATCTTGTTTGTGTGTGTGTCTTTCTCGCCATCGTATGGAATATTATGGTATTGAGTGTGAGTTTCGAAGTGCGACCGAAAAGTGGATATATCAAATGTTGGAATTGGTGAATTGGCAAAACGAAATGATTGGTGCAAATGAGATGAATATTGTAGTGCGTTTGCGGAGATGTTGTGCGATTTGTTCGCCTGTTTGCCTACGCATGTATTGTGTATGTGTGAGTACGACTGTGTCTGTGTGTATGGTTTGTTAAGCCTGTGTGCGTGTTGACAATTCAATAAGTTTTTAGGATACGTACCATATCGTTGTCGTTGTCGTCATCGTCGACGTCGAACGTTTGAATGCTCGACAGGCATTCATTTGCAAAAAGCCCATGGATACAGAGCCAAAGCCAAAGCAATGCAAAGCACCGAGCAATAGCAACGCAACATACAGTACAGAGAATGTGTGTGAAGAAAAGAATGATGCTGAAAACGAAAGTGTAGAATAGAATAGAGCATGCATATGGAGTCCCCGAGAGCAAAATGAAACGTGCGCGTGAATGAGAGAAAAATGAACGGGATGCAAACACGAGATGAGACGAGCACCAACAACAATAAAAACAGACGACGAAGAAGTAGAAAAAAAAAATTTGAAAAAAGAAAAATGAAGAGGCGAAACACAAGAGGCGAATTGCCATGAATGGCAGATACCAAAACAAAAATGATTTAATCCGATGATTTATTATAGATTTTCTTCTTTGCTCCATCGTACTGATCTGCTGAACAAGCCATATAACGCCTTGGCCGCGACATTCTTCGCCACACACCAATCCACCGAGAGCGCGAGAAAAAAACACGTTCTACAATATATTTATGAATGGATTCTAGTTGCTCTCATTTTTGCCACTCTCTATTTCTCACTCGAAAGGATGGAGCGTGCACATTCTTTGTCGTCTCGTTCGATTCATTTGAAAGTGAAACTCGCTGGCCCGCTTCCAAAATAACACGATGGAGATGAACAATATTCTTATGAAAGTATTTCGAAATTAAAAAAATGAATTTGAACTGAGCATGAAAAAGGGTTAATAGTTTTTGTGTTTGTTGCTATTTGTTACATGGCTACATAACAATGAATAAAGTGCAACTAAAAGCAAATCTTTTATTTGTCATCTCAAACAATGGAAAATGGATAACCCATCCCTGAATGGTTGATAGAGAGAAAGAAAAGAACGGGAAAAAAGTCGAAAACGGGAGAGAGAGAGAGAAAAAGATAATGAAGAAAGTATTGTAGATCATTCTGAGACGTGTGTACCACTTCCCCCGCATATAAATAGACAAATGAAAGATACGAAAAAAAGCGCACAGAATAACAAAAAGTTACAAGCGAAAAAAAAGCTAAAAGCAGTGAAGAAAACTTTTGTTTCCAGCTAGAATAAAAATGCGAGAGAAAGAGCGAGAGAGGAAAAAAACAACAACTGCTTGGCCAAATGATGATGGTGCTGGCGCTC